GCTGAAAGTATCTGAAAACTTAGCTTTTTATGCTAAAGAATATATCATCAGAAACACCAGTGGACGACATAAAATAAGCTGGCATTCCCGACTCCTGGGATATTTTTTAAGACAGTACTTCTGAAATCTATAGGATAAGATCAGGTCCTGACTCCTCTGTGAATTCCATAAACTTTCAGGCAAATTATACCTCTCTGTCACTGTGTCTCTGTCTCTCTCTGTTGTGTCTGTCTGTCTCTGTCTCTACCTTTTTTCCGTGTCTCCCTCCCTCTTTCCTCCCTTTCCTCCCTTGCTCCCTCTCTCCCTCTGTTCATCACTTCCCCCATGCCTGCTTCTTTCTCTCTGTGTGTTCATCTGCGTGTATTGCCTCAATCTCCTGGGAACCACCCTAAATGGAGATTTCTTTTATTAACTTAGGTTCTAGGGATTGAACTCAGGTCCTCATACTTGTAAGTCAAACACTGTAATACCCAGGCCATTTCTCCAGCACCCAATTCTTGCTTCCTTATTTAAGTTCTGAGGCACAGTATAGAAATCTAAATAATACAATAGAAGCTTCTTAGAATGAAGGCAACCTACATTAATTTACCAAATGATGGGGGAGACAGAGTTTCAATTGGCCATCTCTTGTCACCAAATGAAGCTTCCAGTACCACAATGTGGTTGCAACTAATTACGTTTTTGGCCAAAGAGGTCCCATGGGTATCCCCAAGCAACCCAGGCTGTTGTCAAGACTATAAGGTTGCTTTACACAAGTTGATACCAAGGCCCCATACCTGAAGGTAACACCCACACAACTCTTGAAACATGGAGAAGGTGAGCTGGTCCCTACATAGAACCTTCACACCTATGTCCTAGCAGCCTTGGCCCAGGAATGTACTCTTCATGCTACCAAAAGAAAACTGCAAACTCCAACCCAGCCACAAACTCTTTGATCTATGATGGTGTCCTGACTGTAAAATATCCTAGGACAATGGTGGCACAAAGCTCATAGGATTAACCAACCAACATCTGATTTGATTTAAAGCCTACTCCATGAGACAGAACCTGTACAAAACATTGCTTGTGTGACCAAGAACCAGAGATTAGATAGCATAGAGACCTAGGGTAAAACCAAATACTACTGTTCTAAAATAAATGCAGCAATAAAAATGACTCCTAATGACATCCTACTACTCCTTATCAGTGCCTTGCTTGGCACTGATCAGAGAAGCCTCCTCCTTCAGCAAATGGGAACACATACAGAAAGATCTTTAACACTCAGCCCTAAATGGAATGCCTCTGTCAAATCTATCCACACAGATTTCAGCACCACCCACCCCCCAATTAGAAGAGGCAGAAAAAGTGTTAAGAGCCATAGAGAGTGGAGAAAAAAAGAAAACAAGGCCCTCTAAATCAGTATGATCAAAGCTGGTATGAACTGAGAGACTGAGGCAGCATGCACAGGTCATGCACAGGTCTGCACAGGTCTGCATCAGGTCTGCTGTATGTATATTATAAACTCCAGTTTAATGTTTTTTTATAGGATTCCTAAATAGATGAATGAGTGGGACTCTGATGTTTGGTCCTTCTGTTGGTATCTTTTCCTTCTGCCAGATTGTCTTGTCCAACTCCGATGTGTTGGTTTATATTATATTATATTATATTATATTATATTATATTATATTATATTATAAAGAGTTCTCCTTATAACACATTCACCAATTTAGGATATGGCAAATGTATAATTTACAATTTATGTGCCAGTAGGACTCGCCAGATGCTGATGCAAGGATTAAGATACAAGGGACTGGGTTTAAAATAGATTATTAATTTTATTTGGGGAGAAGTAACTTACACGAGAAACCAATGACCCACAAGTTCCCAATCCAAGGAGCACCTAGGCTGCTCTCAGTGACCTGACCGGAACCAAGAGAGCATGCTAGGGTTCTGGACCTAACCTCCCTTCAAGTCTGCACCTGTGATCATGCCCAAATCAGTGCTACAGGGTGGATATCTCACTACAAGTAGGAAAGAAAACACAAACTGGTAGTGTACCCATATCCCATCATTGATTTAAAGTTATAGCTAGATTGCCATTGGTCTGTTGAGAAACATGGCTCTTTGAATTAAAAAAAAAAAGATACATTCTATGAGATCAGTATCTGATTGGCTGCTGTTCTTTAGTTGTCCTATTATTTGAATCTGTAGACATCCAATATATTATGATAGTTATTATTCTTTCTACTACATTATGAATGTGCTTCCACAGTTTTGGACACATAAGAACATGCATTCTAATTACTGTTTAGAAAAGATAAAAATGTCTACAAAACATCATTATTTTGAGAGTAGCTATTCTAAAAATTTATATACTTAAAAAATAAACACATTAAACCTATCTTTATTTCTCCCCATTCCAGTGTCTGGTAACCACTATGCTAACTCCTCAATTTTCCTATTCCAAGTATTTCATGTAATTTAAAATAATATAAACTTTATATTTTTATGTTTGGCTTATTTCACTTGGCATAATGCCTTGAAAGACTAATGTATTTATGATGAAGGGATTTTTTTTGATGTAGTAGCCAGTACATGTACAATATTACAAATGTATTGAATGCTGCTGAATAGTGGGAAAGTTGTTAAAAAGGTATAATTTCACACATTCAAGTTTAAAAATTCCTATCATAATTCTAGTATCTATATTGTCTTAAGAGTAATTTTCTTTGATGGGTTATCCTCTTTTTTAAATGTTTCATATCTTTGATGTCTAGCACTTCTGATTGTGTAGTGGACATGGTAACTAATATAGTCAAGATATTTCATTTTTCATGTTTTCAAAAAAACATTTTAATTGAAAGAGAATTGCAGCACTTCCCTTCCCCTTTCCTTTCTCTAGCCCCTCCCAAGCACTCTTCCTCCAATCACTACATGGCCCTCAACATTCAAATTAGTAGCTTTTTTTTCTTTGATTACTATTGTTACAGAGATATGTGTGAATGAATAGATATGTACAAATATATAAATGCACTTTGATGAATCTGAGAAAAATAAACACATTATCTGTCCATATATGGATATTAAGGGGAGATGAACTCATGAATTTTCAAATTTAAAATTGGCAAGAATATGAAAGCATCATGCATATCTGTCCAGAACAATTCCCAAGATTCTTTCCTTACTTTAAATTGATCTTTTAACTGATTGATACATAACAAATGACATACATAAAGATGAGGTCTTCAGCTTCTGTTTCAAAATAAATATTCCAGAGTCTGAAATTCAGAGATGAATTATATATGATCCTTATTATCAGACTTCACATTCTAATTGCAAAAATGGAACCAATATGCAAAATACTAATAAAAACCTCATTCAAAGATTATTAATAAAATATTGTGACACAAATAAAAGAGACGTGACTCTGGAATACAAATCAAGATAAATAATCACAATTGAAGTGGCCCTCAACTTGAGACTGAAGGACAGATAAGAAGGACTCGGACATATAGATAAGAGGTTGCAGTTGACTTACCACACAGAGAGCCTTGTTAGGTTAAAGACCAGGTAGCTTGAAAGTTTTCATTTGGGTGTATGAATTAGGGCATGGGAAAAGATGGGCTAAGGCACTGGCTTTCAGTTTTGCCTCATACATCAGTTTTGAATTACTACAGGTTCTGTTAGTGTTGCAATGGTGAGTTTTCACAGACACTTATCTGACAGCTAAGCAGAATGTAGTTTAGACCTGTAGTGGGGCAAACTACATAAAATTATATGTTGAATGGGACCTTGTTTGGAAATACTGTCTGTGAAAATGCCATAATAAAGTAGGATGGGTCCTAACCCAGTGGCTTGATTATAAAAAGAAAAGTTGTACACAGCCAGCCAGCTGGGGAACCAGCATAGAACTGAACCAGGTTCCCTGAACTTGGGTGTCAGTTGTGGGGCCTGGACAGTCTATGGGGCCTCTTACAATGGAACCAGTATTTATTCCTAGTGCATGAATGGATTTTGGGAGGCCATTCCTCCATAGAGGGATACTCTCTCAGCCTAAATACTTGGGGAATGGGAGCAGAGGCCCTGCCCCAAATGATGTGATAGACTTTGATGATTCTCCATGGAAGGCCTCACTCTCCCTGGGGAATGGATAGGGAGTGGGAGGGGAGAGGGGCTATCGGCTATCGGTGGGAGTTATGGGAGGATAGGATGGAGAGGAAACTGGGATTGATATATAAAATAAGATTGTTTCTAATTTGAATAATAAAAGGAAAAATACAGATAACGTAAAAAGAATATGGTGTTTTGTTATGGCAGCTCTAGTAAACTTTAAAAAACACCTTCTAGACTGTGCTTTGGAAGGCTGTTCTTTGTGAGGGTGATTAAAATGTACAGTATTAGGAATGATTATAATATTCAATCAAGAGGGAGCTATAAATGGATGGAGTTGCAGCAGCCCTGGCTGTAGAAAAAGTCTCTAAACTTCTAGTTCTTTCCAACTTCATCTGTTGCATATGTGTGGCTTCTGTAAAATATTTACTATTAAGAAATTTTTTTTCTAAAACATCTGTTTTAGTATCATTTGTGATTTTCCGTGTTGGGGGTATGTGGGTGTGCATGTTGAGGCCAAAAGAGGGTGTCAGACCCTTGGAGCTGGAGTTATAAGACTATAAGCCATCTGACCTGGCAAGTGTTCTTATGGAGCTGAGCAATGGCACACACCTTTAATTCCAGCACTCCAGAGACAGAGGCAGGCTGATCTCTGTTAAGTTTGAAGCCAGCCTGGTCTACAGTGTGAGTTCCAGGACAGGCTCCAAAGCTACATAGAGAAACCCTGTCTCAAAAAACAAACAAACAAGCAAACAAAAAGCAACTACAACAGCAACAACAAAAAAGAGTTGACCCATCTCTCCAGCCCTAAAATAGATTTCTCCTTTAAAATTTAGAATCAAGTGTATAGTAAAATCCAAGGTAGCACTTTTCACCTGAAATATACCATAGGGAGTGGGATGGGTACTCACTTCAACATGCTGACAGGTTTGGATGAGTTTAGCCAAAAGGGTCTCCAGTTCTGTGTTCCTCTTAATGAGATTGGTGAGATTGCTCTCCAAGTTTTGCTGTTTAAAAAAGAAAGAGAGAAATATTATTCTGTATACTTTTCTACTTTAGTATTATTCATCCTCAGAAAAATAATGGATAGATTTTATTCAGAAGTCTTAATGCTATTAATTCAATTTCATGTACTTATAAATTGAAGCCAGATTTTCAAACATTCTATTTCAAAAATTCTAGAATATTCAAATTTTATTTTTATTAATGATTATTGAATTAACTCATTTACATTTAATTTGGTAATTAATAATAAGTTCTTGATAGCTCCTGAACTAGGGAGAAAATGCATAGTTCAATATTTATCCCTTTGCCTGAGTCAGAAATGGTAATGATATCAAGAATACATATTCCTGCTCCATATAGCTTAATTTTAGAGTTTTGAAATTTACCAATTTATGGTTAGGATAAGGTTAATCTCTTAAAAGAAGGTTTGAATTGACCTATTATGGTTAAAAATATAGCCATTTATAGCATTTGTTAGAAGTTCTTGTCACATATATAACATACAAATAAGTCACACTTCCCAATTATAACATATATTATTCTTCTCCATGTTCCATTTTTTTCTCTATTTGTGCAGGATCATATGTCCTTGATCACTATATTCATTGTGCATCTTAATATAGGTCTGTTCTTTAAGTGAATCAATTTTAAAGTTTCCTGGAATAAATATTTAATCACATTTTTTACTGCAATAACCCTCTGCTCTGAGAGTCATTAAAATGTCTCCATTCTTCTTTATTCAATGTATTCTCCATTTATATTATCTATTCACTTATTGTTCATTCACAAACAAACACATTAAGATTTGAGTAAATGTCAGAGTCTGAGAGAGACACTAGGGATATAAAAATAACAAGCTCTATTTCCTGTTCACAGGGAAAAAGCTGTGTAACTGGGAAAGAGAGGCTAGAAATAAAAGATGAGAAGAACTGATGACTTCCTGGAGGTATCCAAAATGATGAAATCATTCAGCTGAGGATAGAATCACAGAAATGAAGTTTTGGTGGGACAATAGTGTCAACTTCTTAGATGAGACAAATGTGGACCTTATCATGTGGAAGACTCCCCCATAAGCATGGGTCATATGACAAGATCAAGGAAGAATGAAAGGAATGGAACAGAGCAAAAACATGGAATGAAAAATTCCATGAATAAGATAACAGACTCCAGATTTATAATGCCATCTAGCAAAGAAGACATGGGGGTTGTGGGTATGGCTCAGTCTTAAAGCACTTGCCTAGCAAGAGCCTGGATTCTATCAAAACAAAAGAAACACCAGCAACAACAAAAACATAAATTCACTCTACAATTTATTTTTAAAAAAATTAACCTGTTTTTCTTTCCTAAAATTTTCACTCAAAAATGTATAGTAAGGAAGAGATTTTTTTTCATCTTATGAGTGTGCCAGAAGCAGAAATCTCTGATTATTATTTTTAAGGAATTCAATTTATTAATATGGAGTTTATCTTATTGCTCAGGTTTAGGGATTTTTGTTTGTTTGTTTGAAATTGTCTTGCTTTGTAGCTTAGGCTAGTTTCAAACTCTCCTCCACACTGACATAGCATCCCAAGGACTTGGGCTATAGGTGTGAATCAACATACCAAGATTGCATCATCATTTTTATAATGAGCACGTGTTTGTTTGCAATGGGTTCTTTATCACTTGTCTCTTTTCTTGTCAAAACATTTTCTGTTCCTGTTCTAAGAATGCAACTACCCTCATAATTCCAAAAGAGCTAAATGTACTTATTGTTAAACTCTTTTGAGAAAGAGAAGGTCCACATTTCCCTGTGTTTGCTTAGTGTTTCCAAAGGATCTGAGTTTAGTTTGTGTCTTGCTATTTTTGTCTGACAGTTCATCTGCTATGAACTTTGTTCCCTGTGATGTGATTTGGGTATTGATGTAGCCTAGCCTGGGGAGGTGCATACTCTGAGGTTAGGACTCTCCCATAAGTCAGCCATGTGCAAGTAAGGCACAAATCCTGCTTTGGCTCAGTGCCTTGTTTCCTTCCACGTCACTTCCATGTCTGGGTTCAATTCCAGAGAAGGTGTGAGGCATCCTGTGAGCCAAGTGTATTCATGAGGAATCTTTTCTTTCAGCTGTTGGAGTCTTTTGCTACAAGTATACACTCCCCTAAGTGTTCCCTATGTCCCCACTGTTCTACTTCATCCTTAGTTCTTGGGAGCAGTCCAGCATCAGTCTCCACAATTTCCCTCATTCCATTTCTTGACCTTGACCTTGATAATGGCCCCCTTTAGCAAATGAGTACAACAGGAGTTTAGAAGACATTTGATTGTTTGCAAACCAATCTTCCTTCCCACACACTCACATGATCACGAGTGCTCTCTCTCTCTCTCTCTCTCTCTCTCTTCCTCTCTCTCTCTCTCTCTCTCTCACACACACACACACACACACACACACACACACACACACTCACACAGTGTTTCTACTTTACTTTTTGGAGTAAATGAACAGCAGAGTCAGAGATTGAGACTGTGATATTCCATTGTTCGGTATCCTTGGTTTAGATATGATTATTGTGAGGTGAATTTGTCACCTTTATTTTAGTGTGCTAATCTTAGAGAATCCTTTTACTTTTCTTTGAGGCTGATCATTCACAGCAGGAAATTTCTAGAGGAATACATCATCAGTTGTCATAGGTATGACTTTTTAAAATCTGGTTGTAAAGAGAGCCAAATAAATACAATCCAACACATTCAGATTTTACAAACATCTGCATGCTTACCCCTGCCATCATTAAGTATACCTCATGCATAAAAATCTGTTTTTAATCAACTGATCCAAAGACTTAAGCCTGTGGTTTAAGCACTTTGACTTACCCAGGTCCTTTGGGATTATTCAAATTTAAATAGTGTTAGTGCTATTGAGGTCCAGAAAGAATTACTGAGGTAGTTAGAAATACAATAAAGGGAAATTAAGCTGGGAGAGAGATTTGTTTCCAAGTACTACCAAAGGGGATGACAACACTTTTGAAGCAAACATGGGATATGTGACAGGAACAAAATCCTGTCTTCACTAAGCCACGCATTCATAAGCTTCCACTGTGGGGACTTCACTGGAGGCTTTCTGGAACTTAACTGTCACTAACATCCTGTATGATGGCTAGGAGCTCTTTAACCTTCTAATTTTGAATGTGCTTTGAGGGCAAGAAAGATAACACTTTTCAATGTTAGAGTCTTGGATCTACAGCACTTGTGAGGTGAAGGCAAGAGTCATCTTCAGCTACTTGAAAACTTGACTTAAAACAAAATAAAGTAAAACTTCCCTATTTATGCCCACTTTCTTACGTATTTCTGAGTCTATAGAACACATAAAAAATAGTTTTAGTTTTCTGTTGTCATCTTAAAATCACCAATAATTCTTCATGTTCTGGTCAGGCCAAGCTTTAAAGAAACCAGAAGTATAGTCAATCATTTGTAATCATGAAGAGATGTGGGCTACCATTCCAAATTGGCAAATCAGAGGCTAAATCTTTGGCTTAATTCCTATATATAACATGAGGATAATGGTCAACCCACTTATATCTATGTTATCTCTAAGGTCATATGAGAAAAGGAACATATGCACCAGGAAGCTACACAATTATTGTTTGAAGGAAAAAAAAAGAAAAAGAAAAAGAAAAAAAGAACAGTTTGTTCCCACAGTAAGATACTGGAGAGCTCAAACCTATGCCTTCAGCAAGCATTATCCTCAAGTTTGCTGATGGTGTTTTTTCTTCCATATGTGTACCTGTGATCCTCTGTCTCAGGGTTGTTTCTGGACATGGGAAAGGCAGACAAAATTCCTGGGTAAACTCAAGAGAAGCTGGTGCCCCTAGAAGCCGCTCTCTACCAAGAGAAGGTGCTATTAGTAGACAAATGGTACCGCTCCCTCATTTTCTGGATGGGTCCACTTTGAGCCTTATACTATAAAACTTCCCCAGGGCTTCATTGGGCAGGAATGGATAGATCCATAGCCATAGCATGCTCACTAACATTCTCTCTTTATTCTTCCTTCCCTGTGTTTCTTGGATCATCATCCAGTTCCAAATCTGTCACAGTCTGCTTCTGAGATTACTCCACCAAAACTGTTTCTATGAACATACTAATACATGCTGAGATTTTGATGAGAACTGGTGAGGATGGTTGAGTTGAAAACTCATTGTTTTGGGAAGCTATTTGCAAACCATATCTCCTCTCTCAACTGATGTCTAGCTTTCTATTTCTAGATGTGATATAGCCTCTAAATTCCAGGTTCTGACTGGCACTGTTAGCAAAAATCTAATGTGAGACACACATTTGAATCACATTTTAAATTTATTAAAATTATTATAAGAAATAAACAATACTAAAATCAATGGTATTGTTTCAAAATATCACCAATATATAAGAATTTATGAAGTATTTTATATTTTTTTGTTCTTTTTGGTAAATCTTTGGAATCTTAACTCATACCTGTAAGTCATATTTCAAATGCACCACAGTAACTCAAAGCTAGTGATTAATAATACTCAACTTGAAAAAGAGTTCTCAGTAAAGAGCCACATAGAAGTTTAGATTGTTTTGGTCTTGCTTGGTCTGTAACAATGATTCAGTTCTGTTGCTGTTTCATCATAAAATCAGCCACAGACAGGGAGTATGAAAATCAGTGAACACCACACTATTGTGCTCTAATAAAATGTTATTTACAAAACAGGTAATAAATGAGATTTGACTTATAGGTGTTGTTTTCAAAGCTTGGTACAGACTCTACAGGATAAAAACTAAAATGTCACCATTTTCTGGGCTACTGGTATGCAAACGCGCGTGTGCGTGCACACACACACACACACACACACACACTCCTTATGTCAAACACCAATCTTTGTCTCCAGTCTTTTGTGTAAGAATGCAGACACAAGCATATAAGCCTCTGGAAAAATTATTTGTAGACATAATGGAAGAAGGTAATTTTTTTATGGCTGGCTAGCTTAACTTGACAAACTCACAACAATCATAAGAAAA